ATCACTTCTAGGTTGGAGGCCATCGCTATTGGGTTGGAGGCCATCGCGCGTAGGCGAAGGCCATCACTTCTAGGTTGGAGGCCATTCTAGCTGTCGGCCCAAGCACCTACCAGCGGGTTCAGCGGTGCAGGCCAATGGCTTGGGAAGGCGGGTACCATCCTGAGCCATGTCTAGACCACGTGCTGGAGGGATCCGAGATATCCCTAATAGGCAAAGCTTGGTTCACATGGATGGCTGCACGACCATGAGGGTTGACCTTTTCCACGGCTCGTTGACAGACCTCCGAGACCGTTTGCTTGATGGGTGGCAATCCTTCGCCCAACGTTGCGTCAGCCGCCGCCAGACGTTTCAGGGTATTAGCTGGGCCCATGCGCCGTTCACCATGGAGAAAGCTCGTTCTTGGACACCCCACCAACTAGGCCTTTTGCGAAAGACTTTGAACGGGACCTTTTTCACGGCAGATACCCAGCTCCATAATAGCAAGGCCCACACCTTGACCTGTATAAGTTTTGCCTTCGAACAAATTCCGTTTATACCACGAGACCTGTTCGTAGATGGATCATGCTCGAATCCCACCTGTGCATATACTCGCATTGCCGGCTGGGGTCTGGTTGCGGCTCACCCAGACGATCCTGACCTTTTTTGGCCGTTAGCCCAGAGCATTGTCCCTGGCAGGCGCCAAACAAGTGTGCGGGCCGAGATCTTGGCGGCCACCAGTGCCCTCAGATATGCCGCTAGAGGTGGAACCCCCATCCGAATATGGAGCGACAATGCCCAAGTCGTCGATACTCTTCGACAAGCCTTGGCGGACCCAGACACGCGCCGCCTTAGCCCAAAAGATCAAGACCTCTTGACGACGCTCCTGGAAGTTGCACGCCAAGTTCGCCAATTGCCAGTGACTGTCCACAAGATCGCCAGCCACCAATGCAAGACTGGCACAGACTGGGTTGAATGGTGGGCCTTTACTGGGAATGATCATGCCGATCACTGTGCCACATGGAGTCTCAAATACCCACAAGCCCTCGTCAAGCTGTGGCAACAAGCCATCTCCGACCTTGATGCAGCCAGAGTACTCCGGGACCAAGTCCACAGCACCATGATCAAGATTAGTGAATACGCCCTCATCAGCGACATTCCACTTGATGCTGCGGACCCTCCACCGCTTGAACATGCCCTGACTCGAACTGAAGCCATGATCGCCCCACTACCACGGCTGCCCCAGACAGCCACGCACAAGCTAGTTGGCGACGGTTGGGAACGTTTAACCGAATGGAGCAACAGCCTCATCAAGGCCGAAGCAGAAATAATTTTCATCCCTTGGTTGTACATGTACATAGATTTTGTCTTGCACACCAGCCCTCAAAAGCATTTTCGAGATGGACCTGGCTTGACAGAGAAACGGCAGGACAACATCCGGTTGTTCTGAGAGTGAAATGGTTTCGCCTTCTTTTGTTGCGGTTGCACCGCCTTGAACAGAGAGCACTTTCGTCTCTTTACACACGTCCATCGTCACAGGTGGTTCGTTTCTGGGCGCACTGCATCGCCATTCGAATCGACCAGACTCGATTTAAGACGGTGGAAAAGCACATCCAAAAGTTCAAGGCCGCGCTCCTGGACGGCAAGGACGTTCAGATTCTCACGATTTAGTTCGTGAAGTAGGGTCGTGGGTCACCCCCGCCACAAGCTGCGGTGCCTTCGTCACTCGGAGAAACGGAGAAATGGAGGCCATTCTAGGTAGGTTGGAGGCCATTGGTCTTACACACTAGCTTTCACGCTCAAGTCCTGCAGCTGCCACTCAAAGGGCACTTCGTGGCTTTCGGGACTTTGGGAACGTGGTGAGCAAAGCGACACAGGGGTCGACTCCATGGCTCGCTCGGTTCGCTCGCTTAGCAGCGAGGTGAATGATTCCGAAGGAGGAAAGCAATTCAATGAAAGCTTTTCGGAAAGCAATTAAAAATGATGCCTCTGAAATGGCGTGCTTGGTTTGGTGGATCCCACACTCGATCGATGGGAGAAAAACGATGAAAAACGTCTTTGATTTGGTGCTGACATTTGTGTGCGCATCCTCGCGGCTGGTTCTGTACTGATGAGAACATGCTGATCATGAGCTGGGAGAAACGATGAGAGCAAGCAACATCAGTCATTAGTCGTCTTTATTTTCATTATCTGTAATATATTTCACAAGCTAGCACACATGTGGTACGATGGTACACAAGCAACAAGCTGGACGATCTATCTCAGATCAACGGACAACGCACCCTTCGGACAACACTCCACTTCTTCTCTCTCCCAAAGAAGAATCTTTGTGTCCAAAGACGCCCATCTGGTGATCAAAGTGACCCGGCTCCCACCCGGTGAATCTCAGCCGCCTTTTGACTGTGCGGCATCTGTCACAGCCATAAGCTGTGGCCCACGTTTTCGACTGTGTGGCATCTGTCGCGGCCACCAATTGTAGTCTCCAGCAGATAGCATCATGGCAGGCACCAGAATAGTCCTGGTGCAGATTCTTTGCCCTCTTGCACCGTGACTCAATGCTACTCCATTGAAGCCACAAATCCCTTCGTAGCTTCTTGCTCCTAGTAGCGATGCCCTTTGCTCCGTAGTGAGGCCAGGAGCCCCTAGTAGTGTCCTTGTTACTACTAGTAAGACACTTGTTACTAGAAGCGATGCACTTGTTCCTAGTAGCGATGCCCTTTGCTCCTAGTAGCGTCCTTGCTCCTAGTTGCAATATGTTGTCACTAGGAGTCGGGTGAGGTCCTCACGACAAAAGTGTCCAGCAAGACAGACGTGACCAGGAGGAAAGCAAACCTTGCCGTGTTTGGAGTCCGTGTCATGGGTCGATATGACAGACACTGCTAGAGGGCTTTGTCAATCCTTGCTTGCAACAACCCATTGCTTCTAGGTTGGAGGCCATTGCTCTTAGTTTCCCAGCAAAAAAAAAACAAGAATTGAGGAGTTCGACATCTGGCATTGTCACGATGTGAGGCAGGACTCAGGAGCATTCAGGTTTGGATTCAGCAAACCTCTTCAACCACCTTCACACCAATTCGTGGACATCCACATCCACAGGAATCTAAGATCCTCCAAGGAGCTGTTGGTGCAGTAGCTTGGGAGAGAAGAAGAGTCCACTGAAGGCTAAGGCCATGATGGCGCCTGCGCCCGAGATGATGCCGCCGGTGTTGGCCTCAGACACAGAGATCAAGACCGGATTGGGAATCATCGAAGATCTGGAAGGTTGGAAACTTAATTTTGGCCCTTGAGCCTGTTAAATCAGTTCAGGTAAAGCTTGGTAAAGCTACCAACACAAAAGCATCAGCTGAGCCGCAACCCCCAAGACTATACTGGTAGGATCATTGAAGCCTTCTTTGCGGAACTCCACGATCCTGCTCACCAGGAAGATGTCGTAGTCGAGACCTCTGAGAACTTCTATCGCTGGCACAGGGTCACTAAAGCATCTTGGAATGTTTGGCGTCCTTGCTCCTAGTAGTAAGGCCAGGAGCCCCTAGTAGCGTCCTTGCTCCTAGTAGTAAGGCCAGGAGCCCCTAGTAGCGTCCTTGCTCCTAGTAGTAAGGCCAGGAGCCCCTGGTAGCGTTCTTTTCTTCTGTTAGGTTGGAAGCCATCGCTCTTAGGTTGGATGTCTTGTGGGCCGTTTCCTTCTCTCTTTCTCTGCCTTCGCTTCTGTCCTTTCTGTTGGATCTTTCGCGCCTTTCGTATGTTGTGTTCCGTTGAAACCCTAAAAGATCTTTAAAGTGCTAGGCCAGCACCTTTATGGTGCTAGGAGCAAGAACGCTACTAGGGGCTCCTGGCCTTACTACTAGGAGCAAGAAGCTACTGGGAACAAAGGGCATCGCTACTACTACTAGGAGCAAGGACGCTACTAGGGGCTGCTGGCATCGCTGCTAGGAACAGGAAGCTACTAGGAGAGTTCAGATCTGCAACTTCTACATCTGCCGACTCATCTCTCTCTCTCTCTCTCTCTTCAGCACCGTAGCGTCCTGGCCTAGGGCGATGGCAATGCACACGGCCATCGGAACAATTTCGTAGCCTCAGAAGGAGCACCGAATGCAGTGGATATGGCCGACCTAGCAAGAGGAACCTAGGAATGGCCTCCAACCTACTAGTAACAAGTGCCGCGCTAGTAGTAACAGGTGCCTTACTGGTAGTAACAAAAAGCTATTAGAATTAAGGCTACTTGCGATGGCCGAAGGAGCACCAAGCGGATGGAAAAACCGAGACCGGAGAGAAAGTCGTGTGCGGCTCCGAGACCGATCCCATCAGCTCCCACCAATTCCATCCTTGCTTTTGTGGGGAAAGCCGTCAACCATGGTCAATCCGTCCTGAGTGTCTCCTTTTTTGGCATGTGCGACGTTTGGCTCTTGGATTTCCACATAGCTACCACTGGATGTGCATGATGAGCCTTCCAGATGCATAAGCAGGATTCTTCAATTGTTCACTTCTCCTTTGGGGTGCCACCGAAGCTCTAAATGAGTTTATCAGAAGTGTGGGATCCTGAATCACACATGCAAATGTCACGCAAACCCTCCCTTGTTTGGAAGCAGTCGCACTTTTCATCACTTTTCTATGCTTAGAGGCACAAACCATCGTAGTTCGCAAGCCATGGGAAGAGGCCATGCAGAAGCGGCGTCTGATAGAAAACCACAGCTGTGCCAAAAGTCGCTGCTAGAGTGAACAGCAAGGCGAAAGCCAGGCGAAGAGGCAGCAAAAGACCTCGCTCTCGAAGCCGTCGGACGAGTCTGAATAATCCGTCCCGAACCTTGTGCCACGCTAGTAGTAACAGGTGCCTTACTAGTAGTAGCAAGCAGCTATTAGAAACAAGTGCCACGCTTCTAGTAACAAGTGCCTTACTGGTAGTAACAAAAAGCTATTAGAATTAAGGCACAACAGGTTCTGGCATGAGACATCACTAATGCAGGCTTGAGCAATGGACCTTGCATTGATTAAATCGATGATTATTGTTTGCAAATGAAAGGGAAAGATAGGGAAAGTATCTTATTGTACAGGAAGTTTGCCTGAAGCGGAGTGGAAGAAGGCTTGTGGCTTCTCACAAACTGCACAAACAGTCAAGACACTTCTGAAAATCCCGAAGACGACCAAAGTGATGAGCGAGATGCAAATGAGCAGATAAAGGGGCACGGCCTGCATCACAGTGTCCTGCGATGTGACACTCAAAGGCTAAAGGCTGGCGGCTGGAACTCGTCCTCATTCTTTATTTCGATCTTTGTCTTTGCAGCTTCTTGTTACTAGTAGTAAGGCCAGGAGCCCCTAGTAGCGTTCTTGCTCCCCCTTTGGAGAAACCTATATGTACTCTTCTTCCAAATCAATGTTACTTCTTTGCTTTCCGGCGGTATATGTACTTCTATGTTGGCAAATTCGAGAAATACGTCGTACTCACGTCGGCATTTTGCTGAATCTCTTCGAGCAATGTCAAATCTTTCTACGGGTTCTTCTTGCTTCTTGTTCCTAGTAGCGTTCTTGCTCCTAGTAGTACGGCCAGGAGCCCCTAATAGCGTCCTTGTTACTAGTAGCGAGGCCAGGAGCCCCTAGTAGCGTTCTTGCCCCTAGTAGCGGGTTCTTCTTCCCCCTCTCAAGGGACCTTCGGCTTGGTGCCGAGAAAACATGAACGCGAATCTGTAACTTCGGCGTGTGTGGCAGTGCAATCGCCGACAAAGAACGAAAAATATGATGCTGCTTCTGTTTTTCGATGTCTGTCTAGCATTGTTTCTCTCTGTTGTTTCTCTTTGTTTCTTACTTGTTCTTCTCTCCCCTGAGACCGTCAGACCGTTCTTTTTTGCTTTTATACAAACAGCAATCGCTCTACATGTCTCATGCTTTCTTTAAAGTCTCCCAGCATTAGGCGTTGCAAGGACAAAGTCAAAGCTTGCATGCAAACTGTTCAACCCGGAAGAAGTCAAAAAAGCAAACCATGTCTGCTGAATCTAGCTGGCCAGGCTGGGAACACTCAGATTTCAAAGCACCCTGGACGCCTGTGCGTCCACCATGAGGGTTGCTCCACCCGAAAGGCTCGCCGTAAACTGAGGATGTTCTCCTATGACCAAGCTTTCAAACGACGTCGATCATGAAAAAACCTTTGGTCAACCCTTTGGTCTGCCTATTTATGCACAAAAATGCCGTCTGAATCTCCTTTGGTTGTCAATAACGCTCTGGTCCTCAAAATAGCGTTCCGAGAGCAACGGTGGCACAGTGACTGACACAGTGAGCCCAACCTACTAGCGATGGGCTCCAACCTACTAGCGATTGCCTCCAACCCAGAAGCAATGGCCTCCAACCTACTAACGAATGCCTCCAGCTTAATAGTGATGGCATCCAACCCACTAGCGATGGCCTCCAACCTACTAGCGATGGCCTCCACGCTCAAGTCTCCCGCTCTCAGTCCTTGCCAAATCTCAAGGCCTTGTCGCACGGCACGCACCCAGCTGGCCCCCTTCGAGCCCCGCGGTAAGAAGTCCGTGAAGGCCTCGCCGGTCAGTGAAGTGGCTGAGCGACATGTTTTCAGGCGAGAGTTGAGTTATCGTCCATCATGGCACCCTGATGGCAAACCCTCATGATCTCGGAAATAAACACTTCAAAGGAAAGCAACCGATATTACGCTATGTAGTTTGGAGGCCATCGCTAGGTAGGTTGGAGCCCATCGCTAGTAGGTTGGAGGCCATCGCTAGTAGGTTGGAGGCCATCGCTAAGTAGGTTGGAGCCCATCGCTAGGTAGGTTGGAGGCCATCGCTAGTAGGTTGGAGGCCCATCGCTAGGCAGGTTGCAGGCCATCGCTAGTCGGTTGGAGGCCATCGCTAAGTAGGTTGGAGCCCATCGGTAGTCGGTTGGAGGCCATCGCTAGGTAGGTTGGAGCCCATCGCTAGTCGTTTGGAGGCCATCGCTAGTCGGTTGGAGGCCATCGCTAGGTAG